CGAAATGTTGAGGACGGACGGACGGACGTACGACGAACGACGACCCATGGCAATAGCCTCAGTTGACGATGTTCACGGTTGAGCTAAAATAATTGGCTAAATAACCAGAAAATGTATTTATATTTACTACCAGTCTTAATGTTTCTCATACTCCTATGTCGCATATATTGCCGTAATTACCCGTAAATGCCGGTCAGATGCTCATTCTGCAACACACAAGTTCACCGCATGCCCGCCCTGTGCAAAACAACATGAATAAGTTCATATATTTAATTATATCAAGAGTACATAATAGACGATAATAATCTACTAATATCGACTCTGTTATATATAGTTATATGTACAGGGATATAGCCAGGAGAAATTATTCAGCCCTAAATTGAATAACATAATATATTGACCTATTTATGGGCGCGTAGGGGCGTCTGGCTGAGCGCCGGGTAGGCAAGAGACGCGAGCGTGCGTAGGGGGCGTCTAGGGCATGCCCCCAGTAAACAAATTTTTGATTTTTAGGTGCTCTGTGTGCATTCTGGGGGGTTTACAATCACAAATTGGCAGCGTTTTTATTGACAGAAAAATAGTGATTGGTTTGCTGACTTGAGTATCATCTTGTTCTGGTTATCATTATCATGCATCATCAGAGATCTCACTATTTTCAGAGGGGCTAGTTAGGGTCTCTGGCTCTCTATTAACTTTAGCTACACTCTCTATAGCTCTGCTTGAGTCTCTGCTGCACTGAGACTTGAGTCTGAGTCTGAGTCTCTTCTGTATGGATATCTTCTTGGACTTCCATTGTTTTTATTAAATTTATCCATCCTGATGATGGTGAGCGTCAGAAAGAGAGGAAAAAAAATTCAAAACAAATATGGCAGTATATTCAAACAGGGCGTCGTACTCGAGCAGTCATCGAGTTCATTATAGTAGATCTATAGTAAAGCTTTGTAGCCAATCATATTGCTGAATCCTGATGACCTTAACGAGATAATCTAATCATGTGTAGTCTTATCAAAATAGCCGCCAAAACGTCAACTAAATCACGTAAGCGTGTGACATAATTGACCTGCGCGTGAACCGCGCCAGAAGTCTCAATCGGTAGTATAACAAAAAATGGCGGATATTACGACGATGCATGGAGGGATTATAAAATGTATTTATTTCACAAAATATAGGCATTTATTGGAAGATTATATCAAGATATCTGCACAGCCAAAACAGAGTATCGCCGGTCCGCTCGAGTGAGTATCGGAACGAATTGGAGTTATCGGGCCGAAATGACCGCGTATCGGCGCCGATACTTCATAAAGGGCCTCTGGGGAGAACCCTGCATGTATATACTTATTCATGTTGTTTGCTACCAGGCGCGGGCTTGCCACAAGTTCCCTTCTCGCTTAACGCCTACATTGGCGAAAAGGTTCTGCGCCGTGTAGAATTATAACGATCATTGTTGATCCGGAATTTGCTCAGAAAAACTAAATATAGCCTGAATATATGTCTCACTGACAGCCGAAAATATCACTGATTTACACCAACATTCAAACACAATATTTTACTGCAGGTATAGCATAGAAAATTGATTTGACCACATCATACAGCAATAATTTTTCGAGTCGGGACTTTCAAAAATTCACAAATGGCATCTCAACAAGCGAACATAATTAAAACAAAGGGGCGGGCGGCGCATCTATTTGTGTGTGATAATACCTCAGTGTTCGATACATCGATTTGATCCACTTTCTCTCTCCGTCTTCGTTATAGTCCTAGTACTTTTGAAGACTAATATTTATGAGGTTACAACTGCGTTACACTCCTGTTTTGTGTTACGCTAACTATACTTTGGACCTCTGTGTTTAACTCTGACCAAAAATATCTCACGTGCGATTTTTGCATTACTGCCACCTTGTCTGACGTTCGCGTACGCGAGAAAGTGCGAGACATGACAGCCGAACATCAACAAGAGAATGAAAATTGTAATCGTGCATGATTTTTTGATCTTTGACATGCGCGTTCTAGGAACATTTTATCTGTTCCTTCTCAACCCCGTTACTGTTTACTCAAGCACAATGGTAGGCATCATGAGGAGTGGAATAAACACTAAAAAACGCCCTGAAAAAAACTGCGCCAATGATCGCTTTTAACAGTCGGAGAGCCAGAGCCTGGTCGGTTTAAAGGCGGGCATGCGGTGTACTTTGCTGTGTTGCAGATGAGCATTTTTTGACCGGCATTTACGGGTAATTTATCGGCAATAATTAAGCGCATAGAGCTAGAGAAACATTATAAGACTTTGGTAGTAAATAGGCTACATTTTTGTTGTTTATTTACCTTTTTTTTTTTTTTATGAGACGTTCCAAGTGCCTGTGCCTGTGGTTACTAGTCTAGAGCACAGGCACTTGCAACGTCTCATAAAAAAAATGGTAAATAAACACGAAATGTACCAAATCTTAATGTTTCTACTACTCTATTTACGCCTATATCACCTGTAAATGCCGGTCAAATGCTCATCTGCAGCACACAAGTATACACCGCACGCCCGCTGAGTTACTCCGCAGCTAGGGCCTGCCCATTACCTCCCAAAGTTATACTCGGTCGGGTTTATAACACATTGCAACTCTAAACTGTTACGTTAACATTCTTAAAATATTTGTATAACAGGCAAGCGGTGTGTCATTTTGAATATGGAAGTTTGATTTTCTATCGTAGTTTATTTCAAAAGTTACATCAGCGACGTTGCTACACGCCCGCTAGATCGCCCGTGCCATATCGTCTATATTTGACTAGCCAGTTGATTGCAATCGAGTCCAAGGTAGCAACTTTCGGCTGATGTAACTTTTGAAATAAACTACGAAGGGAATAAAACTATCGTATCGAAATGACAACGCGTCTTGCCTGTATATTGCTGTTGTATGTAAAACCATTTTAGAATTTTAACGTAACGTCTTTAGAGTTAGAATGTGTTAAAAACCGAACCGAGTATAACTATTGCGGAGGTATGCAGGGCCCTAGCTGTTTGAGTGCCCTGTGCTGCGTGCACAAACAGCCTCTCTTATTCACAGGCACCTTGAAACGTCTCAATAAAAAAAAAAAGGTAAATAACACGAACATGTACCAAGTCTTAATAGTTTCTCTAATGTAATTATCGCCTATTAATACCTGTAATGCCGCGGTCAAATGCCTTTATCTGCAACCAGCACCAAGTACACAAACGGCGCCGGCCCGCGCTGTGCTCGCGTGCACAAACAATCGATGAATAGAGCATCATCATAAGCTTCAATCATCATTCATCATCATCATCAATCATCACGTCATCCATCAGTTCGTCATCGATAAAGGCTCTTCTTATTTATGTTGTTTGTGCACGCCAGCACCAGCAGGGCGCGCGTTCCGGCGGCAGCACAAGCGCGGGCGGAGCGTTGGCCTGCTGACTGGGGGGCAGAGAGAGCATGACGCAGTGACAGGAGTGAGTAGCCGAAATACAGAGGGAGATAAACAGTAAGGACGGTGGACAGGGCGGGGAGTTGACGTGGGGGAGGGGAGCGGGCAAGGGGGTCGCTACTATGGTGAATGACGAGAGAGCGGTGGCACGGCAGCACATGGGTGTTCTCACGCACGCAAGGCGTGACCTGCAATGAGCAATCCATTGAACCTAACAGTCGGCGGCAGTTTACATATGAAACATCTACAAACTTGATTAACTCTCTCGAAAAAATAAGATCTATAAAGAAAGACATCTAACGATTTGGTATAAACATGTCTACTAACAGCCAAGTGATCTTAGCATACCTTTTTTTTATATTCTAAGGATCCACTAGACAAATAACATCAGGCCGGAAAGGACCTGACTCTGGAGCAAAACACTCTACGGGTTAACAAAATGTGATGGAGTGATATACCTTAAATGTCTTACGGAGGCTACGAAGTACGGACGAATCCATTACGCTTTTCATCACTTAAACGAAGACAATTACGCATAGCGGCAAAGCGTTGGCGCCCAGTTTCGAAATAACGGCCTTGCGGAAATAATTCACGATTGAGAGTTTAGATGTCTAAAGATTGAGCTAGAACCCTAACCATTAACCCGAAACCTACCTTAACGATTAACCCCTCAAAACCTAACCTTAATCCGTAACCCTAACGCCACAAAAAAGGGGCCTTCACGACCGACGGCTACAGCCTACCGTACCTCAGGCCACTTCCGTTTGTATCATAAACTCGTACTTGAGGACTGCGCTATTGCGATAACGGGGTGAACATGGAGAGCATACCTACTCTTCATTAGTACGGTTAAGCAAACTGCAGAGTGCAAAATGACAACCGGCGGTGCCGGGGGGAGACAAATGAGGGGGAAGAAGGAACTGACAGGGCTAGAGGTGGCAGAAGTGGGAGAAAACTATTGTGCACGGCACCACAGGGCGGCGTGCTCGGCCGAGCCGAGGATAACGGTGAGGTCAGCCCGTGACGGGCAACTCACGGCGCGCACGGTGGTGGACTTTTGCTTTGCACGCATAGGCATATGAGCATTGAGCGATAAAACGTCTATATTAGAGTAAAGTTTTACAAAACATGTCGGAACGCAGCATAACCTATTTATTTCAAACGCCATCACTACAAAGCTTGTATAGCGCCATCTACGGTCACAAATTGTGATTCATTTTGGTTTATAAATTATTATTGCGATATACAGATGGCAATCGTTTCTATAATGTACGTCGATGGTTGCTCAATTAAAACTGACTTCTTCTTACTCACTCATTTGTGTCCTTTTTTGTGGTGAGCTACAGTGTCATTGACACTTTCATTGTTTATTGAGACGTTCCAAGTGCCTGTGCTAGTAACTATAGCCCGCGTACGGTTACGCGTGACGTCACCCGAAATGTAGACAAAACACATAGGCAGCTATGATGCAGCCTATTACATTTCGGGTGACATCACGCGTGTACACAACAGCATTTGAAAACGAAACGCAAGTAGTGCTTAGCACTTTGAGGAATAAATGCATAAATACAGGGTGTAAAGTTGTGGAAAGTGTTCAAAAAGATAGGTGAGATGTCCATGTAGATAAATAAGTGTTAAAAAGCCCGATCATGTTGCGTTTTGTGAGCCATATTTCGTGGAAGCATTGGGGGACAGGTGCAGTTACGAAACCTGGCATAAAATGTTCTATAGCCCTGCGGCAACTGTATGCGGGCTATAGTACTAGAGAGTAGAGCTACCATAGCTGAAGACACGATATGTGCTCTTCATTTCTCAAACTGTTGTGGAGTAAGATGCTACAAAGGCAGAGCTAAAACAGGTAGAGCTAGCAAACAGACCATTTCAATGTTTACATAGTTACATATTCGTATCTAATAAGAGTTGTGCTGCTCAATAAATTAAAGGAAGAAGAGAAACCTGAATGGGAAAGAAATAGGACCAAGAAAGAAACCGAGATATGTAATTTCACAGGGAATGGGCATTATTGATACAACGTAATGAAGTGAGTATGTGTTTACATTAGAAGGAGTAGCAAAATGCATAACATAATGCAACAACTTCACCATAAAAGGTGCATAGAAACACTAAATGTATTTTCACTCCTACAAAGAAGTTATTCTCATGCTGTTTATAGTGACATGACCACTTTAAACATTTCCTTGGCCAGTATTTATGCATGCTATCAAGAGTAGATAATAACACATGTGTTATTATCTACTCTTGATGCTATTTATGTGTCATTGTTTGGCATTATGCATTGCTAAACCAACACCAATTGCTAAAAGCATTGCTAAAGGAACACCAATCTAATGTGCATGGCTTTCATCCAAAGAGCATATTGCACTCATCACTTGTTGTATTTGATATTATCTCACTCTATAGCAAGGAAGACGATTGCCAATGTATCATCCTTATTTATATCATGTCGTCATGTCACATCATGGAAAATCATATTCATGTGTGATGATCTACCTTGTAATACCCTTATCTGTCTGGCGTGCCATCTTCCCAAGGCCTAAGATAAAATATTGCTTGTTTCCCCTTTACCGACCGACTTGCCAAAACGCCGCTACTCGACACATTTTAATTTGGCCGATTAAAACAAAACAAAAATTATTTCGTTTTGCAAACACAAAATCAAATTCGTTCCGTAAAAACATATACACAACAGAATATACACTATACATACACACATCGTGTCAAAACAAAATAAAAAAGATTTTTCACCTACCTACCTACTCGGTACCCTGAGAGGCGAGTAGGTAAAAGGGAAACAAACAATTTTTTAAGGGTGGCCCAATACTCTGGCTCTATTATATAAGGGAGTGGGCACGAAAACATTTGCTAACTCTCCTCCCTTGCACCTGACTTGTATTAATGTGCATGTACATGTAAATGTGTTAACTGATGGTGCTCAATAACACATCTATCTATCTATTGATCGATCGATCAATCATCATTCACCACTGACCTTGCAGATGACAAGTTGGAGGAGGTCACGGAAAAGAGGGAAGATGGGGCAGGAAGGAGGAAGGAGTAAGGAGGAAGGAGTACAGCACGTGAGTTCGGTAAGTCAAGACTGTCACGGGATTCTAAGGTAGATTATTTTATTCATTACTTCTACCATCCTGGTTTTCTCCTAGAAAAATCGTTGTTGTAGTGCTAGTGGCACCAAGTGTTGGTGCAGGTAAACATTTCCAGCAGCAGCATCACAGGTCGGTATTGCTAGTAGCAGCATGCGCAGCAGCTGCTGCAGCAGCAACACCTGCAGTAGTACCTTGACCACATCTATATTCTAGAATGGCATGATTATATGAATACAACGGATATAGGCGTTTGCATGATCAACGCATAGACGTGTTCCTGGTAGCTGGAATAGCAGCAACGTGAGTTGCAATGGCTGGCACAGCTGCAGCAGCAATATAACACGATCTGTTCGGGTGTGAATAAAAAAAATTGTTTTCATTTTATCCTGACTTGTTAAATATGCCTTTTCACTCTGTGTCACTAGTTGTAGTTATTTAAAAGTTGAACTGTTACAAGGGATTGTTATTGTAATAGTTTGCATACAGTGGACACATAGAATACAGTGGGTCGAAGAACGCATTCATTGCATTCTGCGCAGCATTTGCATTGCAATTGCTAATTGGCAATTTCTGGAGGCCGTTGTCAGACACATTTTAGTCCCACTATTACTCTTAGTCGTAGATTTTCCCACGTGTGAAGCGTAGTACATTTATACATATTCATTGTTTAAAAAGGGCCGGATTTGGACTATATTTGGGATTCGTTTCGGAGTTATAATTAGGATTACACTAGTTGCGATTATTGTCGTATACAAGTATGTGAGATGTCACAAATGTATTTTTATCACACTTTACAGGTAACCGTTTTCGTATCTTTTCATATTTCTATAATTCTGACTCGTATCAGTGACATGAGCCAACAACTCCTATACACGTGTACTAACGCTAATTTATTAATATTTTAAATTTTTTAATTTTCTCGTGCAACAGATGGCGCTGCTAGTATTAGTAACAACGCCGTGTCACGCCGACTCTTGCACACGGCAGTCAAGTAGTTTATGATATAGTACCAGATAATATATATATATATATATATATATATATATATATATATATATGTATGTATATATATGAATGTGGTTATTTGTGTTTTTATATGGATATCATATAGGCATGTCTGTCATGGTAAAATGAGAAAGGCGTCAGTTGATTGCTGACAAGTACTGAACGGTTCTTCTCTAAAGTCTCGCAAAGTATATGTAAAGCAAAGTATAATTAACGCTGATTTCCTTGCTTTTAACTACTGTCTCTCTTCTCGCTGCAGCAACATATGTGCGCTTCCTTGTGCGTTCGTGTTATTGTGCGTGCGTGCGTGCGCGTGATTATATATCTCAATCGCTGTGATTCTGACCTGCCATGATTTAGTGTGTCAGAGAACGGGATACTCATATAAGAGAAAGGGTCGGATGCAAGCTGGAGTGGTCTAGCACAGGAGCCTCTACTGTAGCAGGAAATGCTAACTATTAAGCGAACAAGGAAATTGCAGTGATGCATAGCCGGTGATTGATGATGATTGGTCAGATGACGTGTATCTTCGTGCTGTAGTCGCATATTACGTGTAAGTGTAACGTGCTACTAATTAACGTGTAACGTGCTACTAATTAACGTGTAACGTGCTACTAATTAACGTGTAACGTGGGATACGTTGTGTGTGGGTGTGGTGTGTGTGTGTGTGTGTGTGTGTGTGTGTGTGTGTGTGTGTGTGGGTGTGTGCTGTGGGTGGATTGCGTGCCTGCTGTGTGTGTGTGTGTGTGTGTGTGTGTGTGTGTGTTGTGTGTGCTGTGGGTGTGTGTGTGTGTGCATAGCGTGTGTGTGCTGTGTGTGTGTGTGTGTGTGTTGTGTGTGTGTGTGTGTGGATGCGTGTGGGTGTGTGTGTGTGGTGGTGTGTGTGTGTGTGTGTGTAGTGTGTGTGTGTGGATGCGTGTGTGTGTGTGTGTGTGTGCGTGTGTGTGTGAGTGTGTGTGTGTTGTGTGTGTGTGTGTGTGTGTGTGTGTGTGTGTGTCTGTGACGTGTGAGTGTGTGTATGTGTGTGTGTGTGTGTGTGCATGTGTGTGTGTATGTGTATGGTGTGTGGTGTGTGCTGTGTGTGTGGTGTGTGTGTGTGTGTGTGTGTGTGTGTTGGTGTGTGTGTGTGTGTGTGCGTGCTTGTGGCACAGTGTATTGTGTTGTGATTTTCATAGCAAAGCAGACGCCGGTAGAACGATTTACACGGCTCTCGGCGACGGCACGTTTACAATGCTCAACCGACGTCGACGTACAAAGCAGACGTCCTTACATCAAGTCGAGAATTGGGCAGCGCCACCAATCGCGGCAGCCTGTGATGAACGATGCATTGGGGCCGTTAGCCGTGGTAGTGTTCTGAATAATCCTGATCTGCCCCCCAGTCTGTCTCCGTCTCCGTTATAATATCACTTGGCCCTAAACATAAAAGTAGTGATTGAATTCGGTAGCGCAAATCCGCACTGGGTGTTGATTGACATTAGCGTTTTACGCTTATTAGATAAACCTTATGTTCATAATAAATGAATATTCAGTAAGGCATTCACTTGAAAAGCAATATCTAAAATAATATCTATTTTTATAATTTGATTAAAATATCAATAAATCTTAATAAACTATTTAATATAATCTACATCCGGTAGTATTTATACATTTATCGGGAATAAGCAATTAAAGAATTTTCCTCTGAGATTGCCGGCAGTCAAAAACGGCAGATTCGCACTTGACACGATTGTGGCCAAACTAAAATATATCCAAACATGCGTCCGAAAGTATTCGTGATTTTCATCAGCGGGTCGTTCGTCAGCAAGATAGTAGCGCATTGATAGCGCGAAAACCAAAAGAGGTGTCCTTTAAGCTTATTTGCGCCGATGTCAGCTCGCGCTATGCAACCAGGCTGTGTACTGATGCATGCACCTATATTCCTAAGCAGGTGTCGTGCTGGGGTTTGTATAACGTCTCCGACCGCAGCATTAGTGCCGAATGAGAAACGTGAGTGTGACTGAAACTATAGCTCGGCGCGGCTGTGTCAAGACTGTCACTTGTTATTCCCGTAATGCTTCCGCGAAAAGCGTTTGTTGCGCGACAGAATGCCCACAGCGGCAAGTTTCATCTGCGTCACGTTGGAGATCTAACTGCCAGACAGAGAAGACGATTGTGCGGGAATCCGCCGGCATGCCTCGAAAAGCAGTGGGCAGCTAAGCCCCGACTGTGCGTATCAGGATAAATTATTAGAGAACGTAATCTTGCGCCTTAACGCTTGACAGCTACACAGTTTTTGGCACAGAATATCTGCGCTCTGCGGATACGCGGCTAACTGTCAGTCACCGCAGCGTTATTTCTCCGGTCGATCTCATAGCGTGCGAGCTTAATAAACGAGGCGACATCATACTTTGATTAGCGGCGTACTATCTTACCAATAATACTAATTATCTGGGGGCTCGTCTTATGGCCACCAGGTTTGATGAATCTGACGATGGAAAATGAGTAATGGCTGAAATGAGTATGGCCTTATAGACACGCTTGCGTGATTAAGATATTTCCACGTGACCCCCGTAGCAACAATACACCTGCTGAAGATGAGAATATGGAACAAGATATTAACGTGCACTTCATTATGGATACAATCATCCGGTTAAATTGAAGTTAAACACAAACAACCTATGATTGATTTAATTAAAAGATAGATAGATTAGAGGAACGGGAGAGGAAAGAGAGAAATAGAGAGAGAGAGAGAGAGAGAAAGAGAAAGAGAGAGAAAGCAAGAGAGCGGAGATAGCGAGCGGAGAGAGAGATACGAGATGGGAGGGGGAGCGTGAGGCAGAAAGAAAGAGATAGAGGCAGAAAAGATGAAAGGAGGAAGGACGAGCGCGAAAGAAAATGTGAAAGAAAGCGATGGGAGGCACAGTAATAGGGTGAGGATAGACTGGGAGATGATCAGCGTTTGAGAGAGGAGGGATGGCGGAGAGATGGGGGAGAGAAGGAGGTGGGAGAAAATGAGGAAGGGAAACAAAAGAAAGAAACAGATGAGCGCGAAAGAGAAAGCGAGAGAGGTACAGTGTTAAAGGATATAGTAGACGAGAGAAGAGAAGAGAGAGAGAGAAGAGAGAGGAAGAGAAAGAAAAGAAGAGAGCGGCTAGAGAAGAGAGAGAGAGAGAGAGAGAGAGAGAGAGAGAGGAGAGCGAGAGAAAGGGGAGGGGAAAGGGAAGCGAGAAAGAGAGAGAGGAGAGCGCGAGAAAGAGCGAGAAGAGAGAGAGAGAGAGAAGAACAGTGAGAAAGAGAGAGCGCGAGCGAGAAAGAGGAAAAGAGAAAGATAGTGAAAGAGAAAGAGAGAGAGAGAGAGAGAACAGGGAGAGACGCGCGCCGAGAGGGAGAGAGAGAGAAAGTGAGAAAGCAGAAAAAAGAAGAAAAAATGTGTTTGTCAACGTTACTCCTCGAAATCGGTTTTGGCTTGATAGCATCGAGGAAATTGCCTTCGCCCAGGAAATCCTTCTTGGTAGGTGAAGTCGCCTGTCGACATATTCATCGCCTTCAGGCTGTTTGTTGATTGCGGTCAAGCGTGAGCGCCACTCGCCCACACGCCGTCCCGTATGCGTAGACCATGAAACTTGCTTAGCACATCCTCTTTCATGCGTATGTTGTTGTAGCGGTCAGAGTACTCAGCAGACGTCTGCATTTAAAGCGGAAATCGTTCGTTTAAAATTGCACTGCATACGAAGTCCGGTTCGCGAAATTCCGTAATTTTTTTTCGCGAAGCGTTTTGAACTGCGTGATTAGCAGGCGTGAATCTCGCTGGCAGCAATCAACCTTTGTCCATTACGCTTGCTTTGTAACTCTATATACTTCGCGCCGGCGAATTGAAAGGAAATCAAATGTTTAGATGCGCCTAAATGAACGGTGGATTGAGAACGATTGCTGAGCTGACATTAATCGCTGCAACCTCGCACATGTTTTTCCCGTGTGACGCAGCTACTGCAATACGTCATCGAGAAACTGCGCAGACCCACACTCAGTTCAGAATGTAAGGATAAAGACATTAGGCAAGGATATGACCGATCATTGTAATAGGAGAAGGATTTCGGTAAGATGACACGTGAAAGGCTGCTGCCGCAATGCAAAATTTAATTAGGATTTTAAAGTTTCCCCGTTTCATGAAGAAGCCCTGAGCCATCTGACATGATCGAATTGCCGCCTCTATGTTTGCCGGCACCTGTGATCCACCACCAAATATCCGCGCTGGACCTCGCCTAGCAAATAGCGGTATACTAAATATAATGAATTTACTCAGCGAGTGCAGTGCTATTAATCAATGCTATTTCAGTGCTAGCAGCTGTTTATCATGCCACTGCTAGCTATCGCTTGTTCGCCATCTGACTTCCCGTGTAAAAGGGTGTCCGATCTTAACGCTAAAACCGGTGTACCGGCGAGGCAGCCGCGTAGTTTTTAGAAGCCGCTCGGCTATACGAGCGGCCTAAGCGAAATCCAACTCCTCGATTTGTTGACGATAAACAAACGAACCGCTCTGAAATATCGCGTTAAAAGCCTCAATCGCACCGTTTTTTTTTCCGCGGAGCCCTCCGGTTTCTTTGGACGGTCGCGCAACTGTGTCTACTACACACATTCGGATTTAACGAGAGGCGCAGAGTAAGGGCTTACTCCGCTCAAATGGCTCCCGAATATAGGCGTAATCACGTGAGTATGCGAACGCGTTCGATTTTATAAGCCTTTATCTCGCACAGAAGCGCGAGTACGCACGTTGCTTGTATTTACCTTGGCTCTATGCGGATATCCGCCGATTAGGCATCGAACAGATGGCTGAAAAGCCGTCGGGATTAAATATTTATAATGAACATATGTAAATCGTTCTTGTGCCCGACAATCGCGCGCGACGACGCTCTGCTCGCCGCGATGTCAGGCCGAGCGTTGCTTCGTCCGTGATGACAGGTTTCTAATCGTGCACACCAGAAAAGATAAGAGACCGAAGCAAGAGAAAGGAAATGAGCGCCGCGAAACGATAGAGAGAGAGAGGGGGAAGAGCGAGAAAGAACGGAGACGACAGAGAGAGAGAGATAGATAGAGAGAGAGAGAGAGAGAGCGAGAGAGAGCCGAGAGAGAGCGCCCGTTGTTATTTAGCGAGGATGCTTTAGCTTAATGGCTATACTCTATCTTGTTACGCGCGCTAAGCAGAAAGATCAGAGTAAACACCGCGCACGACCCTGGCGGGAGAACTGTACACTGATGGGCCTGTGTCTCGCTATCGTCGTACTGGTAGGCGATATTTCTAAAGGAAAAATTCTATAATATATTGATTATCTAAACATTGAATAATATGCGATATGCACAATCGTAACTTTCCAATGACCGCAGGAGTTTTTTCATACACTTTGATTCAAAACGATGAAATTCACGTTTGCTATGCGGGTGATACGCA